TATATATATATATATATATATTAGCATTCACCAACATGTTTATAGATGTAACCCCATAGGTGAATCATATCAATAAGGTCCTTGAAACCTAAAACTTTCCAAAAGGTTTCTTTTTCACTTCATTACATCCAGATATAACCATCCATATACTCCCAGGCACTAAGCAAATGTAGTCAATTACATTATGGCCCGGAATAGTATCCTAATGTGAATTCATACATCTGTCTCTCTAAGATACAGTTCAATTAACTTAGGCAAAGTCCTTGGAGGGACCCGATTATGTGTATATGGCTACTGCACCTCGCAAGATGTAGATGTCCCAAGAATCAACGTAACTGTGTGTCCTGGGGTGCTCACAACAGGAAAAAACCTGTTACACGGTACTCCAATGGTGTCCCAAAAGATCATTCAACTTGAACGTAATATTGGTAAACACTATGTCGTACACCCTCCAAAGAAGTTTAGTCCACTGTAATTGTTATAGCATATAGGTTGGGGTCTCCAACCACAACGGACTCTTTACTATACAGTTCATCCATAACTTGCAACTTTGGTGCAGTAAATATTTAAATGGATCTCACCCACAGTAGTCCATGACGAGGCCCCAAAATGCTAATTATTTCCGGTCCCACCACAGAGTAGTAAACAAAACGTCCAATTGTATTGCCATAAGTACCACTGCTTGCCTGGGGAACATACTGTAGCTTGAACAACACTAAGAGGCTACTGGTTCTGAGTCTTACTTGTAATATAGAAATCTAAAATATGTAATGCAGCAATTGATGGAAAGATTCAATATTCTTCTACAACCATTAAATGTGAGCGTGCCTAGTCACTCCTGTACCTACAGTGTCATAGCTGTATATCTGCAATGTGAGATAATCTAAGGCAGCGCTAGTCTCAAAAGACAGCTATTGTCAACTTTTTTTCAGCCACGGGACCCATTAAAAGTATGCAAAATCTCAAGGTGCCTCAGGCTACACTGTAAAAAAACATGTGACCTTATCCCAGATAGGGGTCTGGTGTGGGTTTTAAGGGGGAACGTCATGTAAAAACACAAAAAAAGTGGTCACATCAGAGTTCTCAGTTACCCCTTCACATTAGAATCCTGCCATCAGGAGCCACAACTGCAGCAGCATTGCAGAGGGTGGGAGGTGGAGCAGGCCTGGTTGGAAGCGAACTTCTATCCTCTTCTGAATAGATGCCATCCTCCCTGGATTAGCTTAATTATTTTCCTTGGTACTGGAGCCCATCTGCACCATGGAAAGTCATGACAGTGTGAGAACATTTTTTAGGAACCCCTGGGGAATCCAGAAGGCACCCCAGGATGACAGGGCATGCTGGTTGAGGCTGTCACACGATTTGAGTTAGGCTTGGAGAGATGAGAGCTGTAGTATTGAGAGGGGGTGCTGAGTTTAGGGGTGAGCAGGGAATGGGGTTCTGGGTGCAGAGGTGAGAGCTGTGATGGGGGGTAGTACTGGGCACACAAGTAAGAGCTGTGACGGGGGGTTCTGGGTGCACAGGTAACATCCTGTGGTGGAGATGGAAGGTGCAGAGATGAGAGCTGTGGTGCTGGAAGAGGGAAGGGGATGCTGCGTGCAGAGATGAGAGAAGTGGATGGGGGGAGCTGGGTGTAGAGGTGAGGAATGTTGATGGTGGAAGGGTTACAAAGGTAAGAGTTGTGGATAGGAAGGCTGCTGGGTGCAGAGGTAAGATCTGTGGCTAGGTGGGGCGTTGATGGGTGCAGAAGAGATGTGGACAAGGTGGTACAGAGGTAAGCTGTGGATGGGCGGGGCAGATGTGAGCTGTGAACAGGAGGTAGTGGTGTATGTGGGAGAGGGGTGCATATGTAATCTGTGGATGGGAAGCACAGAGGTAGGTGGTGAAAGAGGGGTGCAGAGGTGAGCAATGGATGGTTACCTTTCTGAGTGTTGCTAGAGGAGAGGGCGATTTTTTCTGGTTGGTGATCTTTGTTTGGGGAGGAGAAGGGAGGAAAGCAAAGCATATAGAGTTCAGTGGTCAGCAGTATGTAATGTGTGGCATGGTCTGCAGGGTGCAGCAATCAGGATTTTGTACCGTATTTGTGCATAATATATTACTAACAGCCATACTCTGTATGCTGTTGTATAGCTACTTTAATGTTGAACTCTGTATGATGGGGTGTATGTTACATATTTGTGAGCCCTGCACCCAGTATGCTGTGCTGCACATTACATACTCTTCATCACTGCACTGTGTATGCTGTGGAGTATGTTACATACTTTGACCACTGCCCAAGGCTGTACGTAACATACTCCTCACACCTCTGTGTGCTGGCAGTGCAGCAGTCAGCTGTGCGCAAAGTACACCTGAGTGCATTTTTAGGAGTATGTAACATGTAGTTTACTGTAAGGAGCGCAGGGGCAGGATTATATAATATATAGCACAGTATGCAGAGGTAGTGGTCAGGAGTATGCAATGTGTGACACAGCATACAGATTAAAGCAGTCAGGATTATGTAACAGTGTACACTACATACTCCTGGCCATACTCTGTATGTTGTGTTGTGTAATACATACCTTTTGTATATACATACTTATAACCTCTGTACTCTGGGCTGTGCATTACATACCCCTGACTAGTGTACTCTGTACACTGGGCTGTACAAGACATACTTCTGATCCCTGCACTCTGTACATTATAAACTCCTGACCCTTGCACTCTGTATGCTATATTATAATTACTTACTCCTGTCCAAAGTATTCATTGTCCCAACAGTTTATGGTTGCTAAGTAGTCTCTTACTACCGTGTTTCCCTGAAAATAAGACACTGTTTTATATTTTTTTTGACTCAAAATAACACACTAGGTCTTATTTTCAGAGTAGGTCTTTTTTTTTTATGTACAACAATCCACACTTATTCATGTACAACACTCTACATGTATTCATGTGCAAAAATATATAAAAAATAACACAAAAAATGTTTTAAAGTCCCCCCCCCACATACAAATGCAAACATGCGTCGGGTGCGCCTATGTACGAAAACGACGATTGCGCCCATTATGCAGCACATGTTACATATCGCCGCGAACGTCGGAGTGAGAGCAATAATTCTAGGGCCATCAATCACTGATAACACTAAACTGATGAGCGGTAAAAAAATTTAAAGTGTCGCCTATGGCCAATTTTGGTTGCGGTCGTTTTCTGCGATTTCGCGGGCGCGCGCTATTTTAAAGGTTGACATGTTTAATGTCTATTTACCCGACGTGACTCCGTCTTTTATATTTTACCAAAAAATTGGGGTGAAAATAAATGTTTCATAACATTTTATAGGGAAACATGTTTTTTTTCAAAATTTAGGGTACTTTTTTTGTTATATAGTAAAAAATAAAAACCCCAGTGGTGATTAAATACCACCAAAAGAAAGCTCTATCTGTCCTCAAAAAATGGTATGAAATTCATTTCAGTACAGAGTTGCATGACGGAATAAACGTCAGTCAAAGTACCGCAGCACTGAATACTGAAAAATGTCCTGGCCAGGAAGGGGGTGAAACACCCCGGTCTTCAAGTGGTTAAGCACCTCCCACTGTGCCCAGGGGTGCCCCAGGTCTTTCAAAATCCTAGTAATGCTCCTGGCCCTGCCTCTACAAAGATGGTGGCCTCCACAGAGAGACACTGCGCAGAACAACGTATGGTAAGTAAGTAATGGAAAATATCAGCTGTAGGGAGACCTTAGGCAACACTGGTGACATTTGCCCTCTGCCTGCATTTTCTTGGGCCACAGCTTCCAGAGTTCAGTTCTTCCTTAAGTCATTTAATTTTCAAATATTCATAGGTCAGCCTTAGCATGCTAGTGTATTATATTCAAACAGCACAAGCTTGAAAATAAGACAAATGAAAGAAGACAATAGAACAATATTTACAAAACATCTGCATGTAAGATAAAGAAGAGCCAAATTTTGAAATGTTTATCTACAAGTGTTCCCCAAGCCAGATCTCTGTACACACTGCTTGTGTTTGTGTTAGAATGTTAAGACCTTACTTGACCTTAGAGAGTTTTATTGCTGCCATTAGAAAAAAAAAATTTTAATAAAACATTACCAGTGGCTATACAAGCATGTGCTTTAGGATTTCTAAGCAACATGGTTCAACATGTCTCTTCTCTTCTAACTGCTGGCTTAAAAAGAAATTTGTTTCCAATGGAAAAAAATATATTTTCTAGGAAATTATGTGCCTATATGCATTCCCTTGTTCTTTTAAGTACTCACTGTCAAGCTAGAGTATACCTCCAGTATATTAATATTAACAAATAATATGCAGTGACTCTTTCGTTAGGAACAGAATAGTAAACGTGAGCCCCTTTGTCAAATAGGATGAGTATGTAAGGGTGTGCCACTGCACTGGTGGCAGTCACAGAAGTGCAAATTGGTACAGCATTAGCATGTGCCGAAGCAGCATCGGTGCAGTGGTGATGTGGGAGAGGTGGTGACATCAGAGGGGGAGTATAGGAGTCAGGTGTAATAGGCAGGGTGGTAGTGGGGTTCAGGCATAATGATGATAGAGGGAGTGTAGGCACAGTGGTGACAGGCGGGTGCTGGCATCGTGGTGGCGAGGATGGGGTTGCAGGCACGATGGTAATTGAGGCCTCCCCTGAGTAGTTGTTAGCTGTAGCTCCAGATGCTGCCAGCAGTCCCCTCGCCCAGCAGCAAGGGTCATGTGGGGAGGTTGGTGATGTGCATTGCCATGCCAGAGATTTTAGTGCTTGTGTGAGCCTTAGCAGAACCCAGGTGGTAGGGAGGTGGTGTGAGCTGATGGGGCCTGCTACAGGAACTGCTGTGAATGTGCTTTTGGATTGGTATGATGGTTTTGGTTGGCGGTGGTGTACATTTAAGTGTTGATGCTACAGCAACTTTTAACAATAAAAGTGTCTGACTTACATCTAACATATAATAAAGCAGCTCACGTTTAATAGGCTGGAAGTTTCTTAAAACATATGGAAAGCACATACTGTCTACCATTTTGGGAAGCCTCCTCCTAAGTCCTCATAGTCCACACATCACATGGCCATCAGTATAGATCAGACTATTAGGGCCCCTTCACAATATGTTGTTCCACTGTGGTGCAGACCTGCCCCTTTTCTTTTACAAAGCAAACACCACAACAAAAGGCGTGTGCAATGCAGGGCAGGTCTGTTGGCACCTACTGTACTTGAGGTGACATTCTAAATATAACGCATATCCAAACGAACGACACTGTGACGCACTGCACAGAGTGCTGTGTGTTTCTGTGTGCTGAGAAAACACACAATAAAACACACATTATCACAATGCATAGGTCTGAAGGGGGCCTAAAGGCTAACTATACATTTACATAACTTAATTCTATTGACGCCGCTTCCCATATTAACTAAACACCCTTGCACTTGTACTTTAGATTGGGGCAATGCAGTCCAGGGGCCTACACCATATCGGGTTTCACCCAGTCAGAGAAGTCTTACTGCTGGCTTACAAGTAGACAGCTTTTGCATTGAGGGTTGAGAAGAAACCAATATCTCAGGCAGTGTGTACCCCATCATGGCATCTTCCTCTAACCCAGCACCCCTGACACTACATCTTTCTTTTAGCCAGCCACCACCAACAACCAATGCTACCCCTGCATACTCCATCACTGCTCCCTCGGTCCCTGCTAAACCCATGTCACTGCCTCCTTTTTGTCTCCTTTGCGGGGACAAGCACAAAGGAGGA